AAACACATAGACACAAAATTCATGCACGGTGTGAACAGTCCAAAGCACAAACGATGTTACAAAATGTTCAACCACTCTTTATATTTGCTGTATCAAAAAAATGTATAAATCATATCAAACTGATGAAGGAATTTTGTGAACTGTTACATTTCTATATATCACCTATTGCAGTATAATGTATAATGAGTAAGAGCTGAAGAGACAGTTAAATTCCAAATGTCTCTTTTCTTAGGGATAACTAAATACACAGCATTAAGTCTACTGAATAAATCATAAGTAAATTATCATCACAATATTGGCCTTTACCATATAATATCATAAAAGCCATCTCCTGCATCAAAATAAAGCATTTATACTTATAACAGCGCTACTTAACAAAAGAGCACTTCAGAAAATGATAGTGCACTCGGTGAGCATTCCCAGATCATTTAGATGAATCACTGTCATTCAAGTGGTCCGTCTAATGCACCTTTTGTGTTGGCATGTGTGCTACTACACCCCTATTCTTCAGTTTCTGAAAATACCATGAGTTCAGTCATACTGTCACACATGGCAAATCACAACATGCACCAGACACATTACCTTCAAAAAATAACTGCACACAGGTGTAGATGATTTATTCACTTTCACTCTCAGAATCAGTAATAGTGTCAAGCCAAAAGCAGAGTCAGTGTTTGTCATTAATCCCTTAACCTGCAGGATTATAATTGAGTTAGTCATCACACGACTGTGAATTATTGAGTAACTACTGTGAAACTAATATGTAGTTATAAGTTATAAGTTATAAATGTGGCCCTATATTTAGTCCATAAGGATAAATGCCTAATATGATGTTGGTCCTCCACATGACATCAGAATAGCTCTCACGAGACCTCTGAAGGTGCCCCATGTTATCTAGCAGACACTTTACGGCCTCTACGCTGTGAGCTGGAGTGGCCACGGACTGGACTTCTTGTTTAGCATCACACTCTCCCCCACCCCAGCTTGCCTTCTTCCCACAGTGCATCCTCATGTCATCACTTCCCCAGCACACATGTACTAGCCATCCATGTCATGTAAATGAAAATGGGACTCATCGGACCAGATGACCTTCTTTTATTGCTCCAAAATCCTGTTCCGACACTCGCATACCCATTGTAGCCACGTCTGATGAAGGACAGGGGTTAGCATGGGCGCCTCGACCAGCGTGCGTCTACACAGCCCCATCCATCACAAAATTAGAATTATTAAGCTATTTATCTGGGTAGTAAGCATTTATTTACTCAGAAATATAACAATATTTTAATAAATCCAAATAATTTCACTAGAAAAAGCAGCTATTTTATATATTTTAATGTGTTTAATTAACCATTTCTTAAAATGTCTTTGTGGCAGCTCACTATTATTTGTAGTTATCATCCAATAGCCGGTTTGGCTAATCAATGGTTCATTATTTTAAATCAAGTGTGCTACTCACTTTTGGTATACTTAATCTCACAAAAAAACCTACAAGAGTGGTTGGGGGAAACACTGCATCTAGTAAGGTACGTCCTTTGCAAACAAGACTTTGCAGATTATAATCTTAACTGTGTTCTAATGCTAAGCCACTCTTTGCTTAACCACTTTAGTGCTAATGGACCCACTCATTTCTACCTTCATCCTCCAAAACTGCCACCTCCATAAGGTCAACTGTAACACCACTTAACCCTAATAAAACAAGTGTTATTACTCTGGTTTTGCTATACTGTTCAAATGTAACTACCTAAATTAATTACATAGCATTTACATTTGCATTTCAACCTTTACAGGCAACAGGCCCAGGTCTGCAATTCTGCCTTTCAACGTTAAAAAAATGACAAAAACCTTGGCCCCATTGTAAGGATGGTATTTCTTTCTGCAAAACATGACGTACTGTTTACACACCACGACTTTCAAATGTAAACTAGAATAAAGTATATTTTACTTACGAAAACAAATGTAGTAACAAGTACAAGTGAACATTTAGAACCTGAACTTAACAGATTTTTTTCTGCTTGTTACAATGAGCTACGAGTCAAATCATTTAATTTTACATTAAGAAAACAATCTAAAATTTCATCAAGCTTTTGTTAACACCTGGCGACAACTGCAACTTCAAATGGTTTAATAAAGGCTTAATATTTTAACTCTGAAATAAGCCACTACCCATGGAGATCACTTCAAAAAAAAAGTAAAAATGTAAAAAAAAATAAAATAAAAAATAAAGTGTTACACTAAGATGATTTGACTCCAATGTAAAGAGATAGACAAAGTCAGCTTGCACAATGAGTTGTAGAAAGTTTATGTAATCTTGGAATCCCCAACAATCTCAGGCTATGCAACTGACATTCTGGAGGCAAGCCTCTTCTACTGTGGGCCGGAAAACAGCTCAGTAGTGTCACCCTTCCATCGACCTGAAATGCTTCCTTTTCAGCTCATCACGAATGCTTACTTGTGCAAATAAACATCTACATTGCTGAATATGCAGCCTGTTTCACTAAAGGACAAGAAAACTAGACCCTGTTCAAACATTGCCTTTCTATCAAACACTACATCTCAGAGTTGTGATACTGAGTGCAGCATTTCGGTAGTAAGAAAGTACATCAACTTTGTTGATGTAGGACATTTAAGAAGTTGCCTATTTAAAAAGCATGAAAATAAAGTGTTACAACAAAAGCAGGACGGGAAGTGGCTATTTAGCACAATGAGTAAAGAATAATTACACAGCATCATTTTGGTACAGGTGTAGCAGCAGCATTACAATACTGTGAACTGCATCACCTTATTTAGATCATAAAATTGCAGCACAGATCGGCCAAAATCAAACCAATAAACTGGCCAATTGCATGCTTGCAAAAATCTCTCAATTCAGATCTTGCCCAATATTAATCATGTATCCTTAATTATAGTTATCTATGTGAGTTGTGATGAAAGCATTAATATTTAGGAACTGCAATGAAAGGAAAAAGGACAGTTGATTATAAAAAAGTATGTGTTCAAAAAGATCCACAATCAAACTTCCATGGCTGTCTCCTTTAAAGAACACAAGGATGTAGCATGGCAATAAACAAGTTCATTGGAATGAGCAGGATTCCTCCCATTACTGATGTTTGTCTCGGTGGAGAAACACTTCGCGATGAACAGCCAGTTTTCACACACAGTTGACACAACGTTTCAGGACTTTTAACGTGGTAAAAAACAAGTCTGCAGAATAGCAGCTAAAAGAGGGGGTTAACAAAAATCACACAAATCTGAGGTTATTCATCATGAAAACAGTTCTTGAAAGAAGCTCAAAACATCTGGTCACCAAGAGACATCCAAAGCTATCCAAGCCAACAAAAAGAAAAGCCAGGAATGCCTTTCTCGTTTTGACCAACAAGAGACAGTTTACGATCAGATGAAACAAAAAAGAGAGACTATATATGAGTCACAGCATTTCTTAAAATATTCCATCCATTAATGTTTATTCCCCCCGCCCCGGTATAAAATGTCTCTCAGTGGGCGTTTAGGGGAAACTTGTCACGCTCACCACAGAGTGTCCAGCACAAAAAAGAATCTGGAAAAAAAAAAAATATCAGGAGGTATATATACCAATGAGGTCTCTCAGTGAACCACTGGTGCCCACTCACACAGCACCCTATTGGCTAGACTTATTGGAATGTGAGGCTCACTGTGTGGAAGGCTAGAACAACAGACTCTGGTTGGAGCAAGTGAAGAAGAGATACGCTCATAGCTCTGTTCATGTAGAAGAATCAGAGCAGGACTGACCAAAACAAACAAGTTAGTCTAGAACCACTACAGGCCTGTGCGTCACTCTAGGCTCATCAGTGATAGAAGAAAATGAAGTATTAAATACTAATAAAGAATGCACGGAAATAAGATTAAAGGTATTAAGATTTTACTGGAAAAGCTGAGCCCTGGTCATTCTTCCTCTCTAAGGTCAAAGTACAACAGTCTCAGTCGCTTTGCCAATGGAGCTAGAGAGTGAGTGTCACAGCTACTGGAATTTTGTCAGTTACACTCTGGCTGCCCACACGGTCATGTGTACACACTTCCATGCACCAGTTTTTATCAGTCTGACAGGAAACAAATTTTTGTTAGCCAGCCAGTTGCCTGCAAGAGCAAGATACAGTCACAGGATTGAAAAAAGTTAATGTAAAGTTGAATAACTTCTTAAGTGTTATTAAAGAGTTTTCCTTAAAGCAGCTGTTAGCAAATGTAGTGACATAACAATACGCTCATTTTCTCTCTGATGCACCCAGGTGTCTAGTTTTAGTCTTTAATGGTAGTTCACACATGAGAAACCCAATAGCGCATCTGAGATACAGTTTTAAATTTCTATACACCATATAAAACTTTTACTTTGAGTGGCACTACTTCAGCCCTACCATATTGAAATCAGTACACCTTTAACAGCAAACAAGACATTTTGCATGTTCGCCGATGGGCATACTATTGTTTCATGTCGGTTTTTTTTGTTGACAATCACCTGCCCATCCAAAAATAGTGGTCTGCGGTAGGTCGATTTGCATGCCAGTCAAACTGCCTTTCCTGAATTTTCTGGCCACTTTGAGCGACAAAACACACCAGACTTTCTGATGATACTCAGTATGGCTGGTGAGACTAAAGTAGAATTAAATTCAGTTGCAAATCAGCTGCAATCACAAAAGGAACAAAATTTAAATCCACATAAAATTTCCTCCCTTAAGCTCAGTGACAACTAAAGGTGCTATCTTTTAAACCACTCTTATCTCTTTCATAAAAATCTAGTAAAGTGAGAACTAGCTTTTTAAAGACCTAGAAATTAGTTTTTTTTATATTTAGGGAAAATGACTGTTGAACCTGAGGCACTTGTAGTAAACAATGAGTGTCAAGTCAGGGAACATTTGGACACTGATAGGTTAGAAAAAATATTCCTATTGGTAGTTAAACAGATGGTATAATAAACTGATAGAATGACAAAAACTGGATATTCAGTAAGATTTTTGTCATTTCTACAGTACCTGGAATGCTTTTCGTCCACTGGGGGAGGACACACACGTTACTGAGCGTTGGTCCACCAGATCCAAAGCCTGCAGAGTACAGGAGCCAAACACAAACCGCAACCTAAGAGACAGAGATAGAAAGAGATAGAAAGAAAGGTAACAATGAGCCCTGGATTTACATTCTAAATCTAGATATAGATAAAAGCTCGGTCAAGTCACAAAAGCACAGCAAGTAGGGGCATGAAAATACAGCTGTTGCTTGACACTTCCTCTTAGACCTGTTTTGCCTTTTCTCTGTAGTAAACAGACAAATGTACTTAGTGGAACTTGGCTGTACATTAGTGCTTGAAGGCAACTCCTGACATAAGTGGGGAAACCCTTCAACTCAACCCATTCAACCACAAAACTGGCGAAAGCAGGAACCACCTTGCCTATCTCACCTACCAATAGAACCCTTTTGGTTGATGCTGTCGCCATAGAAACATGACGCAAGAAAATGGCACTCTCCAACCACAATAACTTCCCCAATAAAGCACCTTACTGGCCTTTCAGTGACGCTAAAATGCCATTTAGAGAGGCGTGTGATGCCTACTAACAGTAATTACCATGGCTTAATGTTTCCCCTTGGGACTGCTGGATGACTGCTACTGTGGCTTTACAAGTGCTTTTAAAAGTCATGTTTTATTCAAACAATGACATCTGGAACAAATAAGTTGCACATGAAGAGCTGCAGCCTTGACCCCAAACCGGCACAACTGCATCTAAACAGACAAGGTTAGGGCACTAGCATGAGCTTTCAAAATCTAATTTCAGTGTCACTACAGTAAATGACTTTCAATAGGATCACATCAGTGTACACAAGCTATTTGAACTTGGGCTGTTGACATTTTAAAGTACATTACATATATTACATGAATTACTCACATCAGGGTCATGAAAAAAAAAAAGCAGACCAACAAATAATGTACAGATATACTCACGCTATAAGTAGGTCATCAGGTACTAGAAGGAGAAAGAGAAAAAGAAACATCATAGCAGTGATTTATAAGTTATTGTTAATTTTTTTATTTTTCTGTGGGTGAATATTTACCTCTGACTGGTATTTGTTATTGTAATAAATTTGTTATTATGATACACAATGTGCTTTTCTGAGCATTTTGTGGATACTGTCAGTACTTAAAGAACAGTGAACAACTGCATATTTTTGTTAAAACAAAAACATAACTAGCCCTGTTTAACTGGATTTAGTGCAGCACATTTTGTGAAATGATGAATAATCATTGTATACAGAGTTTTTGACGGCAGTTTTTAAAAGCGGCACTACTAGTGCATCAAAATATCATGAAAAATATTGTATATTATGAAAATGTATAGTGAAATGATATTTTTTGCCAAATCGCCCTCCCCCTAAAAACAGGCACCCTGGCTGGTTACCCAACATCAGCTAATAAAATGCTAAAAGTGTTAAAAGTAAAAACAGAGCTCTGAACACAAAGTAAATAGTTCATTCAATCTGCCGTGGATTCAATCATGATACAGCAGTACATACAGCACTTCAGAGTTAAGAAACGAATGGAATGATCAAATCAATCTGCTTAGAGAACAGATTTAAGAGCTCTACTTTTGCCAAAACCTCACTTGCTGTAACTTCACAGGAATGATAAATCTCACAATTCTACTGCAATTTTATTTGATTTAACTGGACACTAAAACATTTATTAAACGCTATGTATGTAATCTACTACTATTAGTACTACTACTCTCCCTATAAATGATACTAACAACTAAATTTATAAATAAATAAATAATAAAGAATTATTGTTACTATTATTACTACTACTACTGGTGGTAGGTGTGGTTTATGGTGATGAAAGAATTACTAATAAACACCGACTAACCTGCGATGAGAATTGAGAATCTATGTTATGCAGCTCAAATTCATACTTGGAAAAAAAATATGGCACAATTTTCCGATATTTTGACAATAAAACAATAAAAACAAAATGTTAAAATTTAAACAAACTTTCACTGCATTTGTTCATCCAGCCAACGTTGGGAAAGACCCCCTTTGGTGGCCATCAAGTGATTTGAGTTTGACACCCTTGCTTTTATACTGTCCATGTGAACACTGCATATTGAATTAACAAATAAAAATGCTTCAAAATTACAATTAGTATAAACTAATGTACCTTACATTAAGAACAGTTTTCCTTGTCCTATGAAGTTACTCTCTGTTGCATACAAGTTTTGTTATGCTCAAGGGTCCATTACAGCCTCTTTTCCTCATCAAACCTGAACATCACATGTAATAAATGCACTGTGTCCCCAAATGTACCCTGACACCTTAGTAATTAGTGAATTCAGCTACTTTAAGGTGCACCCACTGACAGAGGCGTTCAGTTCCACACATGCAGTTTGTCTAATCTACATAGAAAATTACGACCAATAGAATAAGACGCTTTGTAGCAGCCACACGGTCACCATGCCCAATGCCAAGAATCAGCAGAAGAGCTACAAAGCCTCCCAGCGTTGGGATGTTTAACAGTGAAACTGTTCTCTGGAGTAATGGAGCCCCATTCAATACATTTAAGTTGGAGTGCAGTTTGTGATCCAGAACTAATCATCCCACATCGGTACCTGACCTCACTAATGCTCTTGTGGCTGAATGCAATCAAATCTTCACAGCGATGTTCCAACATCTAGTGTAAAGCCTTTGGATATACAGTGCAAATCAGGACATTTTAGTCATACAGAACAGCTTAAACATGTCTGATTGGCAATTTATGTTTTCTTTTTTTATTCACTCCTAGCGGAAATCTCTGATGAAGTACGTTGCTGTAAATGAAACAAATGACGTACAGAACATCATCACTGACGTATCCATTCTGGACTTTGTGCTAAATGCTGACAGGAAATACTGCCTAGTGCTTTGTGCAGTTTTGCAAGAAATAACACAAATGGAAAATCTCACTGCTGGTGTTTCACACAACTTCCATTAAGTCTTATTAGCATGGTGTACAACTATGTAAGGAACGTTTAAAAGAAACCTGTGATCTATTCTCAGCTCTGTAGGTCAACAGGTCTTATTGGCGTGCCTCCACCATGTGGCACTTTGAGGAACTGCAGCTTACATCTTATTTTACAACACTGAGAAACTGATACAAAATGAATAATAGTACACCACCCCATTTCCAAAAAAATTGGGACGCTGTGCAAAATGTAAATAAAAACAAAATGCAATGATGTGCACATCATTTAAACCCTATATTTATTTGAAAATAGTACAAAGACAACATCTCAAACATTGAAACTGAGAAATTTTAACGTTTTTTGAAACACGTATGCCTATTTTGAATTTGATGCCAGCAACACAGTCCAAAAACATTGGGACGAAGCAACAAAAGACTGGTAAAGTTGTGTAATGCTTAAAAAAAATAAATAAAAAAACAACAACACCTGAAGGTAATTGGTAACAAGTCAGTAACACTACTATAAAGAGCATCCCAGAGAAGCTGAGTCTTTCAGAAGTAAAGATGGAAAGGAGCTTAACACTCTGTGAAAGACTGTGTGGACAAATAGTGCAAAAATTCAAGAATAACGTTTCTCAACATAAAATAGCAAAGAACTTGGGGATTTCATCATCTATGATACATAACATCATTAAACAATTTAGACAATCCAGAGAAATCTGTGTATGTAAGGGACAAGGCTAAAAAACCAGCTAGCCATGATCTTTGGGCCCTCAAACAGCACTGCATTAAAAATAGGCATGATTCTGAACACAGTTCATCACTGCATCCTTAAATGCAAGTTAAAACTTGAAATCATATATAAACAGGATCCAGAAATGCCGCCACCTTCTCTGGGCCTGAACTCATTTAAAATGGACTGAGAGGAAGTGGAAAAGTGTCCTGTGGATGAATCAACATTTGAATTTCTTTTTGGAAATCATGGACGCTGTGTCCTCTGGGCTAAAGACCACCCAGCTTATCAGCACACAGTTCAAAAGCCAGCATCCATGATGGTATGGCAGTGCATTAGTGCACATGGCATGGGTGACTGGCACATCTGCGAAGGCACCATTAATGCTGAATGATATATACAAGTTTTGGCAACATCTGCTGCCATCCAGACAACGTCTTTTTCAGGAAAGGCCTTGATTATTTCAGCATGACAATGTAAAACCTCATTCTGCACATATTACAGCAGCATGGCTCTGTATTAAAAAAGTCTGGGCGATAAACTGGCCTGCCTGCAGTCCAGACCTGTCACCCACTGAAAACATATGGCACTTTATGAAACGAGAAATACAACAAAAGAGACCCTAAACTGTTGATCAGCTGAAATCCTGTTTCAAGTAAAAATGGGAAAACATTTCACTTTCAGAACTACAGCAATAGGTCTCCTCAGTTCCCAAACGGATTGATGCAACACAGTGGTAAACATGCCCCCGTTCAAACTTTTTTTGGATCGTGTTTCTGCCATCAAATACAAAACGGGCATATATTTTTCAAAAAACAATAAAACTGCATTTTGCTTTCATTTACATTTTGCACAGCATCCCAACTTTTTTGGAAATGGGGTTGTAGGACTTAAAACAGTTTAGACAAAAATTTTATTTACACAGTTTAAAAGAGCTAGGATGCATGTGGGGAGTGACTTCAGAAATCTCTGGAATTTTACATACTTTCTGTGTGAAAATAATCAAATGTTGAGAACTTCTCAGCAATACTGCTGAACTATGTAACATGGTTTATCCTGTTTTCATGCTGGCAATCTGACTCGCATAGAGGATGCAATCATCTCTATAAAATCTACAGCACTGAGTTTTGAAAATGCACTAATGTGGAGAACAAATCAATTTTTGCTACTCAGAGCGACAAGCTGGTGACTAAATCTAACTCATATAAATTTTATCTCAAATGTAGCTGATTAGATGAAATATGTTTAGTGTCTTATGTTTGCTTCTTTAGTCTTGCCCTAAAGCACTAAGGCTACTGGAGCTTAGACGCCTAATCATCACTCCACCACTAAATCATTGTCTCAACTAGTGTTAGGAAGTCTCAAGAAGACTTACTTATGTGCTTTCTAACATTGTGTTAACTATAAAAAGATGGCAGCTCCTACTGCTTAGCTAAGCAATGTACTTCTGTCCTTTTTTGAGACACCATTGCTTTAAGGTTATTCAAAGTCTATAACAAACACGTAGACAGACATATGCAGCAGTGAAGACAATACTAGAAGCATCACACTTTGCTCACATTGCATCAAAGCGGAAATGATAAAGTACTTCTGTTACTTACTTTGAGATTTCTCTGAATACGTCTTCTGTACATCTTTCAAAAGCTGTTCAGCAACAGCAGGCAAAAAAGAGGCCATTTCCTTCCTAGAGGTGCACAAGAGACAAACAAGGATTTATTAGAGACGGTTTCCTCTTAATTCTCATCTACCATTACAAATGAACCCAAGATGAGCTAGTTCTATAAAAGAACTGCAAAATGCCCCGTTTTCCAAAAGCATTTTAGTGTGTTTTGATGCTCACTCTACCATGTAAGAATCATCTTTGTGCTGAGATGCTTTCCGGAAGCCCAGCTCTGCTTATCTGAAGAAATCAACTGAACTGAGATCTTTAAACTGATATTTGTGCCCTTGCAACTGAGGGAGGCCAAAACACGTACATTAAAGGGGAATTCTTCAAATATTCTACATAATTAAATGGTTGGGATGTAAACAAAATCATGCCGAATGGTTTGATGTGAAGTGCTGTTCTAGAGAAACTTACAGAGTCAGAAGTGTTCACAGTGGTGGTGATAGAAACCAGATGTCTAAAGTGTTTAATGCCTCTAAAAGCTTCCTCACAGAAAGTTACTACATGATATGGTTATGAATACACTGCCTAATGTCTGAGACATTGTTTAGAAATAATGATAAAGTGATACAGTTTTGGCTTAAAATATATTTGAATCCTTTCATAGCAGAGGGATACATGCACATAGTTCCCAAAGAAAAGTGAATTATTTTTTTTTTCATATTTACCACTATTTTATCGTCATCAACATTACATATAAAAACTCAGAAGGCACGTGTAGGTTCACGGGTGGCTTTGGATAGTAAATAAGGTAAGTAAATAAATAGTAAATGGCTATATCTGCACTGTAGACATAGTGATCCCTGGTTCCTATCACCACCACTGTAAAGATATCAGAGTTTGTAAGTTTCTCTACAACGAACCATCTCACATCAAACAACTCTGAATGACTTTGTTTACATCTCAACCACTGAATTATGCAGAGATTTGTCAAAATCGGTGGGGTTCCCCTTTAAATATTAACTAATGTGCTCTATTATACGTTCAAAACAATGACCAGAAACTAATTAACTTCATACTCTCTTCGGGTAGCAAGTAATGAGCGTCTGTTTAGACCTCTAAAGTAACCAGAGGCGGGATTATTTCGCTCCATTTACAGTAACGTTATAACTGATTTTACTCACACTCAAGTATATTCGAGAGGAAAAGAATACTTATTCCTCGTTTTTTTTTTACTTTTACTTCAGAAATCATAGTTTTAGGCGATCCACTCCTGACGGCAACACTACCTTTGGACCAGTTAACGCTAGCAAACATGTCTTACAGAGCTAGGCTAACAGCTACGAGCGTGAGTGCAACCGCTGTTGTTTTTACCTGAAGAAATAAAACTGCAGTATATAAACTATTCCTGAATATTGTTGTTCGCTCTTCCGTTCGTTAAAAGCTACGTCAATAACGCTCAAGCGGTTTTACCAAAACGGGACGCTGTTTTCCTTTTAGTTTTCCCGCGCCGTCGTACAACGCCGTCACTAGGAACGGAAAGAACAAGGAATTGTGGTCTTTGTATTTCATTAGTTTTACGCTACCGTTTTTATTGACTGTGTTTTGCGCTCCCTGGCCAGCTTTAATTCAGGGGAAAAAGAGCATTTTACACTATTTTAGCTCACAGTCTTACTTAGAGCAAGAGCACTGTCAATAATATTCAGTTACAGGAATTCGTTAAAGTTGTTTGTGGAATAAATGTACTGGTGAGTACAGCAGCGGTGTGATGTCTCCATCTAGGGGAGAAATAACGCCACTGTCTAAGCGAGACAGGCTCAAACACCGGGTGTAGGGAACGATGGTTCTGTAAGCGTTCTTTAATAAACTATTTATAACCATGAGTTCTACATATAGCCATTTCATGCTTAAATGGTTCTTTACATGGTGAAATGGTTCTTCAGATTGATGTGTTTTATATGATTCTATATAGAACCTTTTTAAAAGTGGTTCTACATAGGACCAAAAAGGGTTTTTCCAGTGTTACGGTGTCAAGTTTGTAACAATAGCAGCACCCTTTTTTGGTGCCATATTGAACGAACACATTCTCCATCAATCTGAACCACTTCACCATGCGAAGAACCATTTCAGCATGAAATGGTTCTATATAGGACTCATGGTTTAAATCAGAACAACTGCCTTTACTAAAGAACCGTTGAGGACTTGTTGAAGATCTTTTTAGCTGTGTAGATGTTAGTCGCATTTTTGTGTTAAGTTTGCAAAAATTTAATTCATTGCATTCGCTTAGAAGTTTTTTTTTCTTATTTTTATTTAATACTTTTTGTTTTATTGTACTATCTATGTTTTAGTTTAATTTCACTTTGTTTTTCTTTTTTTTTTTACTGTTTATCTCTTATAGTTTATTTGTGTTAGGCAATGTAGTCGACACTTAAACAGATATACAAACAAGGGACTTAAAGCTGGACTGAAACTGCAGTAAGCAAAAGACTTTTATTTTGTACAAAACAGCGAACACCGACTACGAACATTTACAGGCTGCAACGCTTCGGAACTGCGAAGTCTGGCAGTGTTTATGAGGTTAAACCGCGTTAACTAACATTAGAGGAGCTCACTGAGGAAAACGCCACGATCAGAAACGAGCACAGTCCGACAGTCTCTACACATTCATCCCACATTCACTCACTCGCACCATCCCTCGTTACCACCATAGCTTCTCACACTGTCCTGTCACGGAGCCCGGAGCAGGAGGAGGAGGGGGAGGGGGAGGGGGAGGAGGAGGGGGAGGAGAGGGAGCCGGCAGTCTCTGTCTCCCCCTGTCTCTGGCGCTGCTGGCTGGCTCCGCCTCGCTCCTCCCCGGGCAGTAGCGGCGGGTGTGCGCGGCGTCTCCGGTGGCTCTGCACAGCGGGCACACGTAGCTCCGCAGCACGGGGCACATCACCCTGCCGTCCCTCCAGCGCAGTCGGTGGCTCCGGTACACTTGCGCGCTCTCTCCGTTCTGCCGGCAGAAGGCGCAGGAGTCGTCGCGGCCACTGAAGGGCGCCTCGCTCCGCACTGGAGCATACAACACTAAAAAACAGACATAAAACATTTAAACTACAGCCACTTTTATCATGTCAAATTAAAATGAGTGGAGCAATACGCTAGATATGATATGGTAAGTGATAAAAACTCGCCTTTTAGCCCTTCAGTTAATCTGAAATGTTAAATCAGTGTAAAATTACAGCTCATATTTTCCTTACATTTCTCTCCACACTGCGCTCCTCCGCAGCCTGGAGGTGCCGCGCCCCCCCCGCGCTGCTGGCCGGCTGCGCCTCGCTCTGTCTGGGACAGCAGGATTGAGGTGATCGGTGGGCAGAAAGTAGAGCGGTGTTTGGGTGGGGGTCCCGTCCACGTAGCGCTCTCTGCTGTCTCCTCGTGGTTGCGCTGCCCCAGCAGGTGCGCCAGAGTGGCCCGCAGGTGCAGGTAGTCCCGCCACATGAAGAAGGCTCCGTCAGCTCGCTCCATGATCTCCCGCTGCATGACGATGTAGATGAGGCTTGTGTGGATGGTAGTGATGGTCTCGGCGGGGGGGTGCTTTATATAGGAGGGGCTCCAACACTTTGATACATGCTGATGGCACTGACCCGTCTGTCCTCTGGCTCCAGCCTCTTTAAACCTTTAATTTCGTGTCGCCTTTACTTGGCGATGTCCTGCCTGTGACCACCGGGGCGTTTTAACTTGGCTACATTTCATGAAAAATGGACTTGTTCGCGCGCCACTGTCGCCCTAAACACGAGCCAGAGATGATGATTATAAACTACTAAATACTGTGCTGGAGTTACAGACAGTGGTCATTCTGCCCAGATGAATATGTGGAATGAAATCCTGGGTGTGTGCATTTTGCACAATAGATAGATAGATAGATGGATGGATGGATGGATGGATGGATGGATGGATGGATGGATAGATAGATAGATAGATAGATAGATAGATAGATAGATAGATAGATAGATATTATTAGGTATTATTATTATTATTATTATTATAGCACCCACATAACCCAGATAAAATGCACCTCAGAGTGCTTCACGGTATATAAATAAAATAAATAAAGTAAATTAACAAGTAAATAAAACAGTGGCAAAAAAGAGCAACAATCTACCGAATAAAATCAAAAGATTTTAATTTAAGACGTAAAAAACATACAAAAAGTGCAATATACGAAAAAAAACCAAGCAAGTGCTAAAAACTGCTGAGCTAAATAAAAAGTCAGTTCTGGTCAGTCTGGTCTTTGGCGCTTGATTAAGAGGTTGTTTCATCTTCATTATCCTCCTTTACTGTTAGGACCTTCAGGTACCACCTGCTGATCTTAAGCGCTGATCTGGAAGGCGCAGGAGTCGTCGCGGCCACTAGAGGGCGCACCGCTCCGCACAGGAGCAGACAACTCGACGACAATAAAATAGACATAAAACATTTACACCACAGCCACTTTTATCATGTCACACAAAAATAATATTCAGGCACCACCTGATGATCTTAAGCCCTGATCTGGAACGTGTTTTTGTCCTAAATAAGACACATGAAATTCCTTCCATTAAGAGAGTCCACTGATGGTTGTTAGTTGTCTCAGGGCGTTTGCGGGTCCTGTCGGGGTCAGAGTGTCTAACGGCGCCCACCCAGACGTGAACTGTCTGTCTGGACTTTAACAATGTATATTACACATGGCAAGTTAAGCACTTAAGCAGTTGAAGGTTTTTTGTTTTGTTTTTGTTTTGGTTTGTGCTAATTTGCATATTTGTAGTACATAGTGATGTAGGGTACTCCACTACACAGATATTGTTTAGTATGCTACATAGCACGCAGCTGCTAAAACATGTCTATTTATTTTTTTTATCTCATTTCTTAGCAGTACTTTCAGTTGCTTTGAGAGGCTGTAAGATATTGAGCCACTAGTGGACCTCTTTTTCTGTCAGATGTTTGTCTGCTAACTCATCCCGCAGTTTTTGAGATACCAACACTGTTCCACTTCTGAAATATTCGGTCTTATCAGGGATGGTGTGCTTATGTACGGCTTTTTGAAAGCACATATGTTTTTGTACAACTATTGTTAAATATAGGTGCAAACATTTTTGCACCCAGCTTATATCATGATGATACAGGTGCATTACCAAATCATAAGTTTCAAAAGAATTTAACTAGGTGAGAACGGTACTTGCCAGCAGTCAATTGTGAGCAAGGGGAGAGAAAAGAAAAGAAAAGAAACGAAAATTTTCACAAAGAAAGGTGAGTGTAGTTTATGAGTGATGGAAACGAACCTGTTAACTTAGTTGAAAGCAAAATAGGCTACTTTTGCTCCCCTAACCTTAGTTACTTAATATATTCACAGAAAATTCTGGGTGTTTACATTTCACTCCTCTTTTAGCTGGCATTTAATCAATGCAGGCAAACTTTTAGCAAACTATCTGTACCATTGAACCAGCCCTGTCTCCCCATCCCCCGTACCTCTACCAGTGAACCAGCCCTGTCTCCTCATCCCCAAACCTCTACCAATGAACCAGGCCTATCTCCCCATCCCCATACCTCTACCAATAAACCAGCCCTGTCTTCCCATCATCATACCCCTACCAGTGAACCAGCCCTGTCTCCTCATCCCCATACCCCTACCAATGAACCAGCCCTGTTTCCCCAACCTCATACCTCTACCAATGAATCAGCCCTGCCTCCCCATCCCCATACCCCTACCAAAGAATCAGCCCTGTCTTCCCATCCCTACCAATGAACCAGCCCTGTCTCCCCATCCCCATACCCCTACCAATGAACCAGCCCTGTCTCCCCATCCCCATACCCCTACCAATGAATCAGCCCTGTCTCCCCATCCCCATACCCCTACCAATGAATCAGCCCTGTCTCCCCATCCCCATACCCCTACCAATGAATCAGCCCTGTCTCCCCATCCCCATACCCCTACCAATGAATCAGCCCTGTCTCCCCATCCCCGTACCCCTACCAATGAACCAGCCCTGTTTCCCCAACCTCATACCCCTACCAATGAATCAGCCCTGTCTCCTCATCCCCATACCCCTACCAATGAATCAGCCCTGTCTCCTCATCCCCATACCCCTACCAATGAATCAGCCCCATCTCCTCATCACCATACATTTCACTCCTCTTTTAGCTGACATTTAATCAGTGCAGGCAAACTTTTAGCAAGCTATCTGTACCAATGAACCAGCCCTGTCTCCCCATCCCCATTCCCCTACCAATGAACCATCCCTGTCTCCTAATCCCCAAACCCCTACCGATGAACCAGCTGTCTCCACATCCTCATACCTCTACCAGTGAATCAGAACCATCTCCCCATACCCATACCTATCAATAAACTAGCCCTGTCTTACCATCATCATACCCCTACCAATAAACCAGCCCTGTCTCCCCATCATCCCCATACTCTACCACTGAACCAGCCCTGTCTCCTCATCATCCCCATACCTCTACTAATTTAGTAAAGATTTAATCATTTTCCTTTTTTTCATAATAATAAAAAAAAAGAAATTCCCATGGACTCTCTTGCAGTGGTGCCTATTGTGATATCTTTTTGTGGGGCCCAGAATCCCTGGGTGGCACCCCTGGACCTGTGGCTTCAACAGGAATGTGTTCCATCGTTTTAAAATCTTATAAATCATGGTAAGTCTACCTTAAACTATTACGGCTAAAACCCATATTTCCAATGGTCATTATGAACAAGATTTTTATGTCCAAAAGTTGTCATTCTGTAATCAGTTTCATGCCCATATGAGGAATTCCAGGTCTGAGCTGATTTTCTCGAAAAGAAAACCGTTTCCGTTTTGACGTACAAATATTTTTCCTCCAAATTCACTGAAATTATGATGTCTTCAAGTAGCCAAAGTAAGACTATTGCTATGCAGTAAGCTAACACTGCTGTGGACTGACTTCACATCAAAATACTACCAACCTCACCAAATACTCCACGCAAACAAATTTTGCTTAGTCAAATTTAGTAATTAAATTGATTTGGCAGTAGTAGCCTTTTTGAGCAGTTTGAGCAGATGGTGTTGATATATAGTAGTGTTGACGTATAATGTAAGAATTACTTTTATGCAACATAATTTCAGTTGCTAAAATGCCACAAAAACACCAATCATTTCTGTCATAGAAAAAAAAAAAAACTTAGACTTGGAGTTCCTACAATGAGCATGATGCCGAGTACAAAATGAGGCATGACTTCAGAGGTCTACTGACAACTTACACTAGCCAGGGGCCAGAGTGGTTTCAGTCACCAGCAAAGTCATTAGTTGTAGATGAAATTGTCTGTCGTTATTATCATTATTCTATACATATATTTATGTATCTATATATCTAGATTTTCTTATAATTACTGTAGAAGCAAAGGAGACTTGAGTTGTAGTATTTACACAGTTCAAATGATAAGTAGAGAGGCAGCAGACCCACCCCCTTTGCGCTAACATAACAGTAAAACTCCCTTTGAAGCACTAACAGAAATTAGCATTATTGTAGCAAATGGAGCTAATTACACACAAATTTAATAACATATTTCCTTACTGGTGAATACTACACACTTAAAAATGATGATTCTTCATGGGTTCGTTAGTAATGAAATGGTTCTATATAGAACCATGAACATTCAAAGAACCCTTTCCCTGATTAAAGGGGTTCTTTGTATCGTGAAAGGGTTCTTCAGATTGAAGGAGAATGCGCTGTAGAAGGTTCCATATAGAACCTTTTTGAAAATGGTTCTGTACTGCACCAAAAAGGGTTCTTCTATTGTTACGATGTCAGGCTTGTTACAATAAAAGAACTCCTTTTGGTGCTACACAGAAGAACCCTTTCATGATACAAAGAACCCCTTTGATCAGGGAAAGGGTTCTTTGAATGTTCATGGTTCTATATAGAACTACTTCATTACTAAAGAACCCATGAAGAATCATCATTTTTAAGTGTGTAGTATTAGGATACCCTAGTAAGGAAATATGTTATGCTATTAAATTTGTGTGTGATTAGCTCCATTTGCTACAATAATGCTAATTTCTGTTAGCGCTTAAAAGGGAGTTTTAATGTTGTGTTAGCACAACGCTTAAAGCCCTATGCTCACACATTCCAGACTGGGTTTTTCACTCCTCATGGCATTTCTAGTGTAAAGATGGATATTTGAAGCTTGTCAGAAATTCAAGAAACATTTTCTTTATTGTAATGTCTTTTTAGTTTTTTTATCGTTTGTCTGAGGCGACTACTTCCCTTTGTCAACAAAGGCAGTTATCAAAGCAAAAAAATGAAAGATGCAAACCCCTTACAGTGTTTCATGTACACTTTTATTTATTTTACTACAGGAAAAAGTTCACATCAACATTTACCCTTATTGTTAATACGGTATACTCAATATCTTTCCAACAAAAGTAAAATACAACTGATTTCCTGTAATCTTATATTAAAAAATATCAAATAGTATGCAGTATCTAACAGTTCATATTGTGGATATGTGACTGGCTTCGACAGCAGAAAGGTCTGCCTTTTCCACTGTAGTGGGATGGAGTTGAGCAGTCCGATTAAAAAAAAGAAGAAAAAGTAGAAGAGCAAGTTGGAGATTTGCTTTTGTATTACCTGCCACATTTTTGATTGACAAGCTGAACATGCAGTAAGGGTAAAGACACAGATCACCCCATAGACTACACTGGATGCATCAGGCAGGCTTTGCACAAGTGAGACGGAAAAAAAGTCTTCTGCAAACGATCACATGATATTTCTGAGGTGTAAAATCTCACTAGATTGCGTACCATGATTTATTTCCATACAAAATGGAATTCAGTTCCAAAAAGCTTAATGGTCAAAGTTTATTCTTCTTTTGCTTATGCATTGTTTTTACAGTACAGCTTAGTTAGCACTGACCATAAATGAGAAACTTGCAATTTAAAAAAACAAGTCACTATCCAAAAAAAACAAAAAAAAAACAAAACAAAAAAAAACTTCAAATGATTGACTCTGCAGAGTCTTTCTCTAATTGTAATGTACTGTACAGGCACACATATAGAATATATTTATAATAAATAAGGTGATTTGGCCTGGGAATGGTCAGGAGACGTCTGCGCTCTCTGAAGTTTGCAAAGAGAGCAAAAGGGTCCTACCCAAGCCTCAGCTTTGAGAAAACGCAAGCGCACACACACACTCACGTATACACGCACGCAAACCTCTCTTTACATGTGTGCAAAGGCTGAAGAAGGAAAACGGAACAGAAGAGTTATTAAGCAAAATGCGTTTTTGTTTGCTCGATTTCTGGAATGCCTCTGACTTAATTAAAAAAAGAATAAAAGGAGAGGGGAGTGTAATCGCAGGCCATCTTCTGCGCCGGCTTCACTGAGCTGGGCTTTAGAGGAGCCACCATGTTGGAGACCTGCATGCCTCTGTTTCAGTTTTGGAGACGTTTTGCATCCACACTTTCTCAGGAAACAAACAGAGAGGAACAAACGGCGTGTGTGTTGGGATGTGTGGTCTCCTGTGATGGTGTCAGGAGATCAATCCGTAACTGAAAAGACCAAAGGCTCCATCCTACTTCAGCTCCAGCTCTCCTCCGGCCAGGGGGCATGGCCGCTGCTCTCTCCGCACATGCTCAGACTGACACGAGATTGGACAGGAGGGGAGGGGGAGCCCCCGCTGTGGCATGGGTTAATTCTGTACAGTAAATAGATTGCTGTGTTTGGACGGGAATGGAACAGTGTGGGCGTCTTTCTCGCTCTCTTTCTTTGAGTGCTAAACGTCCGTGGAGAAATAGAGCGTATTCCTCTTCAGCTCGGCGAAGGAGATGGGCGGGTGCTGCAGGTAGTACAGTAACACCTGGACCTGTTGAAGAAAAACAGATAACATGATAGTTACAGGCATGATCTGAAACAAAAACCAGCAGCAAGCACATGATAATAATCATAATAATGATATAACTGTAATTTTATGTTCAGTCTGAAACCGCAATGCATTCCAATAAGTTGAGAAAGAGGGCAGTTTAAACCTAGAAACACTGTGAAATGTGAAACTGTGAACATTTTAAACATGTGATGCAATCATGCTTGTGTGTAAAAAGAGCATCCAGGAAAGGCCCAGTCCTTTATGAGCAAGGATGAGTGGAGGCTCACTACTTCACCAAACAACAAAATCTGCCTTTAAAACTGGATCACTTGATCTCTTCAGCCCCCCAAATCTTTAGTAAGTGTTGTTAAAAGGAAAGGTGATGTAACACAGCGGTTAACATGCTCTTGTCCCAACTTTTATGGAACGTGTTGCAGGCATCATATTTGGAATGAGCATATATTTACAAAAGTTCATAATGTAAAACATCAGATATTGTTTCTATACTGTTTTAATTAACTACAGGTCAAACCGATTTGACTAAACACTGCTTTGTTTTCATTAGATACACATACAGATGTACAGTACCAAATTAGGTTTGTAGAAATGGAAAAATAGCTGAAAGCAGGATATAAATTATTAATTAGAAATGATCTAAGCCTGACATGCCCAGCACATTTTAGTGTTTTCCCTGCTTGAACAAACCAAAATACTTAGAACCAGGTTAGGGAGCCACTGGTTTAAGCTGTATAAAGTTTTTAATGTTGCAATCTATGTGATGGCCTCTAGGTGTCACAGTATAAGGCAGTTTTAGACTCTGGTTGGCTGAGCTATTTTAAATCACTCAATATGGATATAGTAAGCAGCTGTGCAAAGTATGTTCTGGAACATGTAAACATCACTTTAACCACTTCAAAATCACCCATATTTACAAATCCAGACTGCTTCAGGAAGTCAGCTTGAGGACATCAGCAGCCCATAATGATGTATGTATCTGTAAAAAGTGGCCACAGCACCGGGCCTAGCCAATGCCACATGGAAACACAGACACACTGGAGTGGACAGCAAGACAGACAAGAAATGCTCAAGCCCTCTGGCCTATGACTCATCATCAGGATGTGATATCAAACCACTTTTCTTGTGTGTTCATGGGGCCATGGCGGCTGAATGTAAGGAAGTTTTTCCCTTCATTTTAACCATTGTAATGCAATAGCATTGGGTCATACCACAGCAAACTAGCAACCTAACCACTTTATTTGTTCTGCTGGACCTTCACTGCTAATCCTGCAGACATACTGGACAACCTAACACAGGGTAAAATGTACCATGTAAAAATTACTTTCAATGTAGTTAAACAGATTCAAGTAGAACAGCTTTTCATCCCATATTCCCATATCATCATTATCTGCACATTTTTACCACAACTGGACGGATATTTCTCAAGATTCAGTCTAAAAACCCTGAAAACAAGCGATTTTGATTCGATTTGATTCGAACAAGGTTCACACATACATTATTTTAATCACACCTTTAGTGACTAACTGCTATAATGCTATAAAGCTATAATGTTAGCTAGCCAGGCTAAACCACAGCCTCCACACGGTGGGGTTAGTTTTAAAACAGTGCTACATTGAGGCCTCAGAAAGTAAAAATAGTCTATAGTCTATACCTCTCCATGCAAGTTGGAAACAAAACATTATATGCAAAATAGAACATTCTATGCAAGTTCATCAAAAAATATTAAAAACCTATTACAGATGGTTTTTAGGTTAGAAAGCTTGTCTAGTTCACATAGAGTAGAAATAAATTGAATTAATTGTATTTGCATAAATTTACCAGTGACTGTTACAGCTATCCTGTTACAATGACTCTGTCTGTGTGGTAATTTTTGCCTAAATTGCTCATATGATCTCAAATCAGTTTTCATTTTCCTTATTACACTGCAAAGCAGAGTCTCCGGTCACTAGTTACGCTACAAGCATGACTACAAGATGCAGCTTTATACACTGGATCGTGAAGAACAGAGAATGATTATAACATTACTAACTGTGTCTGACATGAGTACGAGCAATAAATGGCCTCCACACTGTCAACCAATCTGACTGTCACCTATAAAACAGTGTGTTATTTTACAGGAGGGTAAATAAATGACACTGTGTCATCTATAATAGAGAAACACTGGGATGTTAATGGTAATACTTGTGGCTAAGTAATGAGTACTCTGTATGTGTGTGTGTGTGCACTGGGCAGGCCTCCAGCCCTCTCACTGAAAACCCAAATACAGCTGTGGGATTATTTAGACCTCAAGGCCAAAGGCAGAATCCTCTTCCATGTGGGAGTGAGGAGCAAGAGCAGAACACACACACAAACATACACACATAAATATGTGCACTGATAGGGACAGTTTGGGATACCTGGCCTTCTTCTGAAATTTTTCAAGCTTTGTTTGATTTTCACTATTACTTCTTAATTACATAAGAAAAAGACACCTGCAATGATTTTAACCTAAAACAGCTCTGTATTAATGTTTGGGTACATTTAGCTTCAACACTCAGCTTCATGTTCATCAAGTGTCTTCCTCTGTATGTAGGTTTTGCCCAAATAATGATATAAAAATGTGAGCAGTAGGACTGGCAACAAGCAATAGTAATATTTAATATGTTAAGCTTTTGCAAACTCATTAAAAAAAAACAAAACAGCGAAAAGTACAGTGAAAAATCTAATTTATACAATTTCCCAGTGACTACAGATGTAGACCATCATGGTGTCCATCAAGACATGTCCAGAGTTCAAATTTAGCTATTTCAGTTTAGAACTGGAGCTGCAAGGCTAACGTTCCTTACAAACACTAGAACTCGAATAGCCCAAATAGCCCCAAACATTTCCATAAAAATACATCACTAAAACTTCTACAAACCACATCCTAGTTTGAGCCACTAGTCCACAGACTAGGCAATGTTTTATTTTTGGACACAACATGACTGTGAACTATAAAAATTACAATATGGGCGGTCATTTCAGACAACACCAGTGCTGGTATTCACAAAGCAGACATAAATTACAGGACTGATCTTGGATCAGATTCCTCCGTACTTATGACAGGGATCGTCACATATACTCTAGATCTACATCCACCTGAGATGGTTTGTGAATACAGACACTGCTATCTGTTATCTGTGTCTGTAGCTGCCCACAGTTGTCAGAAACACAGCAAGGGTTTGTTCATTTTTATAGGTCACAGTAAATCATACTGCATTCTAAACCACATAAGCATGTCTGCTCAACCCAAATGCAGACCTAGATGCAGTTTGAGCAGGATGAGGGATGTTTTGCTGATGTGTTTTTTTTTTACAGAAACAGTTTGTGCTATTTGGGTAACTAGTGCATTCTAGTGTTTGTTATCAACATTAGCCTCACAGCTCCAACATTAACTAAAGAAATCAAATTTGGACTCCAAACATGCCTTGGCTGATTGGCCAACTACATCTGAAGTAAAAAATAGTGTGAATTTAGGAATTCCTAAACAGTTTCTTTAGGTGTCCCTAAGCCTTTTATGTATAGGCCCACCAACACGTAACGCCAGAGTAAGTCAAACCAAACCCTTATGGAGAGGTGTGTGCATATCTACCTGTGCCATGACGTCATGGGACCAGATGTCGGAGGCCAGCGTAATGTGAGGCTTGCTGCTTTCGGACTCGGAGGGTCTGAGCAGCGTGGGGCCGAATACAGTGGCCAGGTTGTGCAGAGACATCTTATTCACTGGCTCCTTCTCCGCCACCCTGCAAAACCAAACCAGCTCATCAGAAACCAATACATCTCAAATGCTAATCACTGTGATGAAACTGTATTATAAATCATAAATCTCAACTAGTTTGTCCTGTAAAACAAGCAGATTCATATGGTTTATGTGCAATATATGAATACTTCATGCTAAGGATGACTAATTTTTAAGCTCTGAACAGAGTTCCCGTTTGGCGCTTTTTAGCATGTAAAACCTGAAGTTGGCCAGCAGGTGTCCTCAGTGAGAACACCTGGATTTCATCCCCTACTTTCCACATGGATGTGTCATTGACACTGACAAGTAGGCAAACTTTCCTACAATGTGCCTGCACCTATTAGTCATATTACTCTGAACTGTAAGAATATTTTGTTTTTGGACTTTCAAATATTTCCTACTTTGACTTCCAATCTCACAAAAGAAATATGGGGAACTTCCATGTCTGAATAATCAAAATAACTCATCCTCTCATTTGATAACATATACAGCTGTGTTTCTGTGTGTCAGACTCAACATCTGACAATTCTGAGAGATTACTAAGAACTGTGACATTTAAAATTTATAAAAGAAAAAAAAAAGCCCAGCTGAATCACAGCCACCCAGCTGAAACACGTGTAAAGTGCTGAGGTTTCCTAGGATGAAATATGACATGAAACATCACCAAATACGGCCTCTTAGAAACAGCCAGGTTTTTGCACTCTACCACAAATCATATCCCAACAGTGTTCTCCGGTGGTTTTTTAACACACTCGGTTCTACTAGCACTGATCACTGAGACAGCTGTTGCTGCCGGATTCTATGTAGACTGGTCTGCGGCTCTAGCATGTTGTGGTTCTTAGATCTGGTTGTGGGTGTGGATGATCCTGACGTCGTTTCCAGGCCACTGTGGGCATAGTTCACTACTTGTGGTCACACCAGGGCTGGAAGCTCAGCCATACGTACGGTCTTACTGGACCACAAGCTTAAGGGGCTACATGTGGATGGAGGAGAATACACGAGCGATGGCTATGAATAGAGCATGGGTCAGCCACTGGAAAACACTAAGACAGCCAACATGGAAGCTAACAGTGATGGTAATTCAGTATGGGAATGCACATGTACATTTTTCCACTCTACTGTTTTGTCTCTGTGATGACTGGAAAACAGGAAAACTCTTAAAAGGTTTTTTTTTGCACAGAAGCTCCTATTTGTGTAACTAAAAGCTTCAAATGATTTTCTTTTCTTTCTTTTTACATTAAAGTATTCATAGGAAAGATCCTCGCAAACAAAAGTGTGGCTGCACATGTATGCTTTTGTACATTTTAAGGACAAACTTGTTAAAGTTAGCTCTAAAATAAACTTTACAAAGTGACTTTTACCCAAAAAAAAAATAATAATAATTTCAAAATTTAAAAAGCCAAAATTAGTTACTGAGGTTTAGGTTGTAAACTCTGTAAAGTTACCATTTTGGAGAAATTTGTTTTTGGGGTTTATTTTTGGACAGGACAGTGATAATATAGTACTACTGATTAATCTATTAATCTATTAATCTTGAAACTACCTTGAATATTTGATTATTCAAGAAGAAGAAGAAAAGATTAAGACGTTTCACTTTAATAACTTAATGAAAATGACTTTTTCTTCTTCTTCTTATCATTATTATCATTATTATTATTCTCATCGCATAAATTCCATTGATTTATTTAGCATTTGAATAAAACATAACTGAAACACAACAAGGAAATAAATAAAAACATAATTAATAAATAATTATTTTCATAGCAAGTTGTATTAATGCTAAACTGGGGAATTCTGGCCAATCTGGGAACCCTGAACAGGCTGTGCATGTTTTACCTCTTCAGGTGCTCCAGCAAGGTGAGGAAGGTGATGAGGTTGGGGTCAGGGAGGGAGCGCAGCAGGTGCATCATGCAGTTCTCCTTGGCTGCAGGGTCGGACAGAGCTGAGGAAGAGGATTAGAGGCATGAAGGTCCATCACACACTTCCACAACCCTGACATCCTAATCATTCTTCTCTTCTTTTTCTAAGAGTTCACGCAGTGACCCTCATCTAAACCCCAACCTACCTCATCTGACCTCTGACCTCTACAAAATGCCCACTTCCTCTGTAATAACCCCCAGATGTCTCTTTCATTCTTAATCATTACCAGCAAAACTGATAAATCCAGCGTTAGTCTGTCAGGGATTACTGGGGTGAAGAGGTTAAAAGGTTAAAGGCGAAGGGTCGTACCAATGCCCTCCATGAAAGCTGGGTAGAGGCGGTCTGTCAGCAGAGGCTCAGGCAGTTCTCTGAAGTACAGCTTCAGTGTCCCTGCGATGGCATTAATGTCCATATCACTCAACATCACCAGAATATCTTTGGTATCTGAGAGAGAGAGAGAGAGAGAGAGAAATTCTTTTTTGAATATTCAAACAATGATGCCTGGTTGAAGAATTATAAATTACACTGAATTATTAAAATGATTTAAAATAATTTTAGTAACATTTAAGTATCCAAATTCTCATTACCGCAATACATTGAGATTTGAAGATAAATCTGTATGTAATGCTTTTTTCCCAACTTTTCTCATCACAATCTCTATATATTGCAAAATATAGTGTTTCGTAAATTTGCAACGCACTGAAAGCCATTGAGGTTATTTCTTTTTACTTGTGCCACATAACATTTTGTTTTTTTGGTTCAGATTCTTACAGTTTATAAAGAAATCATTAAAGTAAAGAGATTCAGCAGTTAACATAACACAAGTGCATTTTTTAAAGTAAAATTAGTGAAAAAACTATAAATATTGGTAAAGAGAAACAAATACAAATCCACTGCGGTAATGAGAATTAGGGTAAAAATTCCAAAAATAAATCAATAAATTAATAAAAACAGGAAAACTCTACAAACGTTTTTGCTGTTCTAAATTGATCTACTATTAATTTACCATTAATCTAATACTTATAATCTGTGTGACGCTTATGACACTCATATATTTATGGACGTTTCATTGTTTTGTGATGTCATTTTTAATTGTTAATAAATGTAATCAGGGTTAGTAATTTCCTCTGTAATTACTCATTTCACATCAAAACACTCTGAAACTATACCCTCACTTTAATGACTGAACTATGAATTTTAAAAAATCATTGGAATCCCCCCCCCCAACTTAAGTTCTCTATATCCAGGTTAATTAAAATGACCGTTAACGATCATAACAGTGAGTGATCTGTTATTCTCTGTAACTTATGATGTGAGTGTGTGTTTGTGTGTGTTTATTAGGCCAGCTGACAGCTGGAGGGGGTCAGTCCTCTCTCTGCCCTTTCCCACAACTCCTCCGCTGCTTTTAGTCTTGCTTACAGATGCAACAAAGTCAGGAGAGAGAGGGAGGAGGACCAAAAGACGGAAAGAATAACAGATAGAAAATAGGGCTGCATGAATTTGACGAATATGATAAAAGCATTCAGTTCTGCACTGATTGTAATCATGACTTGTCTGGTAGATTCCAGCTTTATGTCACTTGTCATAAAAGACTTACATAGGTGTCATGTAGCCTTACACTGCCTTTCAGTAAAGCGTTACCTGAAATGTGCAGGATTTGTCAAGCTAGAAGAACATCAGTGATCATAACAGACTGTAGGGCTAGTAGTAACAGTTGCTAGGACAGTCTGGTAAATGCAAACATAATTAATACAATATAGTTCTCGGTCACATCAACTAGACGAACTAGCCAACCTAAATATCAAATATATGCATCAAAATAAATATGACTACTGAAAAGGATCAGATATTCATTTTGACCACAACAAATATAAACACGATAAAAGTGAACTATATTTCATTTAAAAAAGATACCTATAGTAAGTCTTTGATGACCTGTGAATTAAAAAAAAATATATATAGATATGGGGGATCTATATCAAAATATATTACAGCCACCAACAGGGCAAATACAGCAACATTTGTGTGAATTCTGTGACTTGCATCCACAACTCAGTAACAAAAAAAAAAAAAATTCATTATGATAAAATATGTTACTTTTATGGTACAAAAACAATCTTTAAGGTGAATCTGGAGAAATATCGGTCTAATTTCTGTTAAAATTCACAGATGAAGCTACAGCTAAAGCTGAAGATTCTGATTTGCATCACATTTAAGCGAAAAGAAATTGCGGCAGTTCAACCTTGCTGTGATATGTGGTGGGCTTACTTGTGTCGAATGCTGCTTTAAGTGCCTGAATGTCCGTGGCCACCCCAGAGATTCGGTAAATGCCCACTTCTTCGATTCCCCTCTTCTCCACCTCCTCAATACACTGCCGCACAATGTAAGGCACCTTAGAGCGCTCACGCCTGTTGAGACACAGAGACATACAGAGTTTAATCAGAAGTATTCAATAATAGCTTCATAATGATCTTATCCTTGTGCAACCTCAACAAAGTACAGAACAGGATTTTTACAGAAGGGGAATTTCACAGATTTTTCTAAATTTCTGCAGGCAAGGATGTTCAAAGGCAAAAGATGTTGAAATTCAAAGGTAAAGATGTAAAGATGTCATTCAGAGAGGTTTGATGTGAAATGCCCTATTATAGAGAAACTTGCCTAGTCAAAATTGTTTATTGTGGTGGTGATAGGAGTTTATTACTCCTAAAAGCTCCCTCACAGAAAGCTATTAGAGCTATTTTTGATAGTTTCAAGATTCACTTTTGGCAATGAAATGCATTTTTTTTTTACATTTACAAGAACAAACGGCCCCCAAAGAAAACATTTGTTTAGATTTATCACTATTTTATCTTTGTGAATATTACAAAGAAAACTCCAAAGACATGACTCTATATGACTGAGACTCCAAAGATATGTCTCTATATGACTGAATTATGCAAAACATTTGAATCGACAGAATTCTGTTTTAATCCCTTCCAGCGGGGCAATGCTCCAATTACTCACTATAACGTACATATCAGTTTCACAGGTGTTTCTGAAAGTATAATATATAGTAGTTGCTGAATAATAAGCATTAAGATTAATAACAATAATTAGCCCAGAGTTCAAGTGGCTCAAAGAAAAAGCAAACGAACTAAGTAAGTGACTGTATGGTTGCTTCACACAATATGTGGTGTTGTGATCTTGTGGAACTGACCCAGCTGTTCTCAATCTTAGGAGGGACCCCTATATACTGCACATTTGTTTTCAACACACTCTTTCTTCCCAGAATGGTAAATGATGTGATAATGAGAATATTAGCTTATTCAATATGAGTCTAGTGTGTCTGAAATGAATGAATCTGACTTCCCAAGATCGACAGTCAAAATCACCATAAACTTAAGCTTCTTTCATTATTATGGGGTTAGGACAGGAATACACAGAGAAGAACAGGTGAAAACATACTTTGTCACTACGCTGATTTTGACTCCAAACACTCCACTCTGCTTCTTAGAAGGCGTCCTCTTCAAGCTCAAATCCCGACTCGTGAACTTCATAGAGAACTCCACCTTAATCTAAAGTAGGTGCAGCAAATAAATGTTAAACTTGTGGCAGAGGGTTCTTTTACAGTATTAGTGAAACTGTGCATTCATTCTTACCCCGTTCATCTCAATCACGTCCACATGCCAGTTCTTGGACTGCACTGTCTGTGGGTCCAGCTAAAACAAAAGAAAGGCAGAAAAAAGGATTTGAGTGTTCTGTGCAGTGCTATCAGCCAGCTACAATATAAGTGGTTGTAACTGAATGAAATCTGTGCCCTCACAGGAAAAAAAAAACTGATTTGCTAGACAGATTTACAACAGCGTTTGAGTACAGATTCCACCCTCTTAAAAAATGAGGGAGGAAATAGCATCAAAGTCTAGTTTGGACTGTAATTTGGCCTGGGATCATGGTATCAGTGTAAAAGTCCAACATTCCACACTGACCCTAGCTAAGATGGATTATCAGAAGAAGGAAGAAGCGTCCAAATTGCAAACAAGTCCAAAACATGTCAAAAAGAGGATTATTCGACTTAAATTATCTGAGGTGGGTTTTTCTTCTCCTTCCACAGCACGTCTACTGTTCTGAATCATAACTTGGAACGGCTCAGAGTCAGATGCACTAAATAGAGTCCAAAAACTCAAACACAATTTCAAGCGACACACACACACACACACACACACAAAAGCTGCTGGTGTTCTACAAACTGGACTGGCCACCCCAGAGTCCAGCACTCAGCATCACTGAATGTGGTTGGGATTACTTGGATCATCAAAAGACTGAACTATGAAGGCGTAAAAAAAATAATAAACGAACCATCCCTGCAGATTTCTTGGAAAAACAGAATGCAAGTCTTCTGAAAATAACTGGAAGCTTTAATAAAGGCCAAGGATGAACATACTAAATACTAAAATATTTTACATAATAATTAATTGTTGAGGCTTCTGCGTAATTTCTTTTATATAGAGTCTTAATGGCCGTTTTGACAGGAATTTTAATAAATGAAGGGTGGTCTCAGTCTTTTCCACAGTACTGTGGAGCACACACATGCAGATGTTACCTATATACTCTTGTACACCCACTCACACACGGAGGGGAATGCTTTAGAATCCATGCCAGAGGGCAATTTTTTGCAGCTCCTACTTAATAGAGAAGACCCAGTTTTCCATTTGTTTTCCATTCCCTTCTGTACAGAAATTCCCAGCCAGAAAAAACAGAAAGAAAAAAATCCCTGGGAACCCAAAAAGCTTCTGTTATTAAATTTCAGGACAGTGAACTCTTAATGAAATTAGCTCTTCTCTACTGCTGCATAAGAAAACAGCAACTTGGCACATTTGCAGCATTTTGAATGTAGGTATGTGCGTATCTATGTGCAGATATGTGTGTGTGTGTGTGTGTGTGTGTGTGTGTGTGTGTGTGTGAGTGTGTATTGCCCTAAATAGACTACAAAAAAGTTTACATGATCCAGATGTCTATGACATGTCAGTGTAATATGACCAAGAAAATACCACAGACAACTTAAAAACAATTACAATCTAGGACAAAAATAACATACATATGTATGTTAATAACATACACATCCTTTTGTGTAGTTAACCAAGATTAACCACATTTGACTAATTTAATCATAATCATTAATTTGACATTAATAAATGTTCTTTGATTATAGCTATATGAGTGGATAGAAGATCAGAATGTGTTTATTACTGTTATTAATTCACATTATTTTTATCATGTGAACACAGGGCTCACATAAACCTGAACATGAAATCACATTAATTCCATAAAGTGAACGCAGTTTCCAGTTTTCATCACCAATATACAGTGAAAACAATGCATGTTACTCTGTAATTGTAGCCTTATTGCTCTTATACCACTACACACTTAAAAATTATGGTTCTTCAAGGGTTCTTTAGTAAGGAAAATGGTTCTATTTGGAACCATGACCACTCAAAGAACCCACTGCATGATTAAAGGGTTCTTTGCATCGTGAAATGGTTTTTCAGATCGATGGAGAATGTGCTGTAGATGGTTCTATGTAGCACCAAAAAGGGTTCTTCTATTATTACAAGCTTGACATTGTAACAACAGAAGGCGCTTTTTTAGTGCTATATAGAACCCTTTTTAAAAAGGTTCTATATAGAACCATGTTTTTTACTAAAGAACCCTTGAAGAACCATAATTTTTAAATGTGTATGTTATGTTGTGTTTGTATGTTGGCTTTGAAAAACTGTTGTTCCGTGCCTCAGAGCTGAATGATCAACAGCAGTAGCTGTGTAAATGCTGCCATGATGACAGCATTACTAGCACAGCCATATAATAGCATGATAATGTTAAAATATCATACTGCCAACTCCATCTGATCCATGGGCTTCATCTTTCTATGTGCTATCCTGAACCTATCACGGAACGTGGTGTACAATACTCGACATCTGGTTTGATGCTTATGGAGCGTTTCCTTGTTAGCAAATCAGGACAATCCTTTCAGATAGATCATGGACAGAAGCTGTGCTGTTTCCATTAGCATGCAGTTCTCTGAAGGGGAAAAAACATCTCACAAACATACGCACAAACGTTCACGTCCTGGAATTCACTCATTCTTGCATTCCTCCTTTCCCATGCTGCTCTGGGAGAACATGTCTTAAGCATGATGGATGATGGGTATGAACCCCTGGAGAAGCTCCACCTTTCTCCTAAGTTTACCTGCCAATCAAACCAGCTCAAGACCAGCGAGAGATGGCTAGATAATAAAAAAAGCCAATAATCAAACCTTTTCACACCACTGGTGTCTACAGCAGACAGACTCCACACTGTTTAAAAAAACAAGCAATATAAAGGCAACTGGTTTACCAGTGTTTAATATGGAACAAACTGAGTACACAAGCTGACTATATATCTAATGGGAAAATGAAGGTGAGTTACATTTATGAGAAAATCGAATAAAGGCTAGTTAGCTGTAGTTTCATATTACTTAAGATATGACCTTAAGTACCCTCAATAAAGTAATCAGTGTAATCATCGTTACTGGCATTGCTGGGACCGTAGCGAGATTACCATCAAGTAATTATACGTAAGGTATTTCTGATGTTGTCCCATTGGGGCCACAGGCTGGTACAGTGCAATGTTATTGTAACGCTGGCCAACAACACATGAACTGGCCTGATTTATGCTTCTATAAAAACGCTAAGTGAAAGAAACTGCTGATCCTGCGTACATGCTGGTGTTTGAAGTGGGGCTTGGGCTGGAAACCAGCTCAAGTAATCAGGGTATCAGACCAGAACTTGGCAGACACTCTAAACTAAAGTTATGATTGCTAAAGCTACAGAAGAAGCCTTCAGACACTGCAAAAATACAGTCTCTCTCTCTTTTTCAGACCTCCTAGACCTCTTCAAAAAAACATGAACTACTTCTTAACTTTAACTTCATTCTGCCTCAATTAAACCTCCTAGAAATTCTTACAAACATCCCACCACCACCATCAGACAAGGCAACTTAAAGAAAATCCTTTAATGTCTCTACGTGACTGGCTCCTAACATCGTGCCTTTATACATTCACCCAAGGTATGCAAGCACATCTCAACCCCTTATTAAAACTCCTAAAGGGATTCAACCTTCTTCTGTGGGAAAGGAGCTTTCTCTGGAAATAAAACCCACAAACGGTGTGGCTGGGAGGTTTATTTATACAGTATCCACAATTGATTCAGATTAAGCCAGGGGTGGACGGTCATGCAGGCTTACGCTGCTGCCGAAGGAGGGAGGCTGAAGGTGCATGGAAAAACGCTGGCCTTTGAAGCGGCACCCAGAGAGAGAGAGAGAGAGACAGAGAGAGAGAGAGATCCCTCAAATTTAGAGTTGGGTAAATGGCCAGAGCACTGTTAAAACATAGGGAGGAAGAGAAAGAGAGAAAAAGGGAGAGTGACAGCATCATGTGTTTGAGTGAGAACACCTGGACCAATCAGACAGGGCGGCACATGCCAAAGCACAAATGTAAAGCAATATTTCACTAGATTTGAAGTGAAAGCTATGAAGCGCTTCTCCTGAAACCTGCAGATGGGTCTCTCAGCTCTCAGTGGTGTTCTAACGGACTAATGTATGGACAAACTTTAGACTTCTGGATGGGTGCTATAGTTTTTAGCTATGCACTGTGATTTTGTTCATGTTAACAGATAACAATACAACAATAGTATACAGTGTCACAATTCACATAAGTCTATCTGAGATTACTTAAAAACTCAGTTTGGTACTTTTGTTTGAAAAATGTAAATATCACTTAATAAATGGTTTTCCAAGCGGCTAGAAAGCCGTCAAGTCTGCTATGTAAGAGTGATATTAGGACAGACCCTCAAGACTTTTTTTCCTTTTCTGTCTCTTTAGGTTGCTCAGTCTGTACAGATGAAACACCGCAGTCGTGGTTTTATCTCCTCGCTCTTCTCCTAAACTGATAGCATCTGGACGTGGAGAACAAAGAGTAGAGAGGAAGAGCTGAAGGAAGGACATCCTCCTCCTTGTAATGGGTTGAATTAAGAGCGGCCTGCGCTGGCCTGAAACTGAAGTTTATGCGTCCTGATCCAGCAGCTTTGATCAGAAGAGGATGTGCTTGGGAAGAGCGTTTGATCTGACATGAATAATTAAACAAGCCTTCAGTGAGAACACACCAATAAACCACATGGCAACACTGAGAGGGAAAGATGACAGCACAAGGCTGAACAATCCAGCAGATAACAGAGAATTGGGTTCAGCCAGGTGTTATAATGGATTTTATAGATAACAGATTTCTATTCTCTGTTTTTTCTGCTGTCCCCACTTCTGCTCTCTCTTTTTTCCTTTTTTCACTTTGTTCTGCCAGCATGTTGCTGAGTGGAGCAGGAACAGTGTGTTCTCTGACTGCTCTCTCCCTCTGCGAGTGTGTCTCACAGTATGTATGAGGTCAGACATGAATGCCATGGAGAATGGTGTGTGTAGACAGGAATACAATTAGCCTCACTGACTCACTGATCTCTGTCTACATGTAGTTTCTTTGCGAAATTATATCATTAACAGAAAGATATCCATAAAATAGACAATAAAACATTTTCCTATCTTGATCCTCTGAACCATCCTTAGGAGTGCAGGCTTAATCCCAGCTGCTTGTGTGCTGTAAAGATAGAATTAGTAATGGCAGCCTTCTCATTCAAATGCT